GGAAATTCGCTACCCTCATCGTTTTGAAGATTTTTCAAATTTATTAAAAATTTCAGGTCATTCCAGTTTTAGCAAAGTTTCTATTAAGCAATTCTTGCTACGCAAAAAAACGTATTATTTTTAGTTTTATTCAAAATACTGACAATCTTCAGGTATTTTCTGTAAAAATTATAAAATAAATTTTATTGGAACACTCGGTTCCTGAACAGCTTTGTAATTTTTTTCTGGAACCTTTTGCAGCTTCGAATTTTGGACAAAACCCTAATAATTTTTTCTGGATTTTTTCCCAAAAATATTTCCCCGAACAGAACAAGTTTATAATCAATTATTCGAAAACTCGTCACTTTTATCGCTGTTAATAATTTGGTTTATTTAAATGCCGGTTTCTTCACTTTTAGGTCAATATTTCTATACAAAACTCTCTCTAAACAGAACAACGTCTTTTTTCCTAACGTTTTACTGGAAAACTGAGTCTTTTATGGAAAAAATCAAAAGATGGATTTTACAAGAAAAGTCGGCGTCTTTACAGTTTGGTCTTCTTTATCGCCTTTTCGAATACTGAAGTTTTCTCAAAAATCGACCAGAGAATGCAAAAACATAATCAATATTTGGAAAACTCGTTATCCTCATCGGTTGAAATTTTTTTAAAGTTTCCTCAAAGTTTCCGGATTTTCCAGTTTTGGATCAAACAGTTTCAAGCAATGTGCGATAATTATCCTGGCCTACCGGAATACGAGTGCTTTTCTGCATAATTGCCGACAATTTCAATGCGATCTTATTTTTCGTAGGTTTTTGATAAATTTTTACACAATCGACTGCATGTTCCAGTTAAAAGCTGTGGCTAAAAATATTTCTCAGAAAACCTGGGGAGTTCCAAAGGCCCTGGAAAAAGGAGACTTTGTTCTATAAATGCTGAAAATTTGAATGCTCTTCTCCGCCTTCTGTTGAACTTTGCCAACTATTTACACGCGACTGCACTAGTCGCTTAGGAAATCTCCATTGGAAATGAATTTGCAATAATTCATTTCTCGAAAAGTATCCGATATTGTTACCCCACTGGATTCATGAAACTTTTCTCCTTAGGTGCTGAAGATTTCGATTCAATAGAGTTTCACTGATTTTTGGCGATGTTTTATTCAAACGCCTGCATTTACCTTTGAAGAACCACCTGGTGATGGTGATTATTACCCTACTGGACAGGGGACTGTTTTTTCGTTCAGATTGAATGTGAAGGGGATGGAGTCTCGGTGGATTTTCGGGAATTTTTTACGCAACGACTTTAACTTGACTCAGGCTTTGGAAGGAGGAGTTTCAATTAATAATTTCTCGAGCAGCTGCTCAGCTATAAATGTGCTTGTTGCTTCACTGGAAATTGAGCTCTCTTCTTTAAAACTCCAAATATTGCATGCTATGAGATTTTTTTTGTCCACTTTAGCTATTGTGACACCTATGAGCTAGTGTTTTGCACCAATGAAAGAGGGTACTTTTCTTCACACACACCCACAATTTTCAGGATATTGAGGTTTTTGCACATTTTTGGCATTTTTTTTGGCTTCTTTAAAACATTCCTGGAAAATCTGGCCAGTGATAAAAAAGCGTGTTACGCCACTGGAAAAACGATGTTTTTCTAAATAAGCCCTGAAAATGTCAATGCGTTGGGTGTTTTTGTTGAGTTTTGCTGATTTTTTTACAGCCGGCTGCATACGCCTCTTAGTAATGAAAACAAGACAACAAGCGAAAGTCGATTGTTTTCAAACGCAAATATTTGGAAGAGCACTGAACGCCCCCGGCACTTATTTTATCGGGAAATTCTTCTGGAATAAATGCGCCGGATATCAAACAGGCACTGTGGTAGATAGGAAGAATTTATTAATTCCTCCCAGAGTCAGTCCCCGATGCAAAACTGGCAGGTGAACTAAGTCAGATTGGATCGTTAATAAATCTAATTAGGGTTAAACTCGGCTAATACAGTTAGAGTCGAGCGAAAATTGGAAATTTCCCCCGGGACCAAAAGCCAAACAATATTTTGCCACAGCTCACAAAGCAATTATCCAGCCAGGACGATAGAGCGTAGTCTTCGGGCGGAAATTAATGCTGTTTGTAGCAGTTCTTCAGCGTCAAACTAGCAATTTTGAGGCCTCGCTAGTTGCTAGAGCAAGCAGCTCAATATCGCGCCGTTTAGAGCGTGCATATCAAAAGCAGGGCACAAGATCGGACATGATTTTGCTTTTAGTGCCCAAGTTTACGGAATTAGGGGGCTGTTTATTCAATTTAAGCGATATTTTTTCAACGATGACGTGCAATTAATTAAAACTAAATTCGCTAATTAGCGCTTTCTCCGTTTTATTATAAATGGCGCCCATGTGGAAAATTGCAGGTTTTTATTGCGTTGGAACGTGCAAAAAACCTGCATTGATTTGCGGTTGAAAAGAATCAGCAGAAGCCCCCAAAGTGGCGGTTTAGCGGCACTACGAGGGCTTCCTTACGCATATTTTAATCCTGCAGCCTACCGAAAACCCCTTAGAAATGCAAAGCGGGGTTTTTCCAGACTACTCGCATTACCGAGGCTCCATTTGCTAATTAGCTTGCCGGGTGGGTGAGGAAACTTAAAAAATTCAACACCCAACTTTGCCGATTACTTCATGCCTTCATAGCGAAATCAAGCAACTTTCCAGGACTTGATGCGGAAAGTTAAAGTAATATTAAACGGTTTTTGCTGCCTGCGGAGAAAAGGAGAACGGCTTTTAGCGCAATTTAATAACGTCTTTATTTAGTCGGGCCCAGTCTGTTGCTTTTTGCCGCTCGGGAGAGTTGGGAATTGAGTGCGCTTAAAAGGGCCAATCAGCACTACTCAACAGTAGTGAAGTGAGGTGAACTTTCCGAAAACAACAAACCCATTTAGCTGAATTGAAACAACGATGCCGTAACGGCTAATGGGAAATCGTTTACGGAGAATTGATATACTTTCACTCGCTTAAAAATAGTGCAACACCCAAAGACGTGATCTGCAAAACAGCCAGTTACACAGTCGATAGAACATAAATAAATAATTGTTGCACCGTTTCGCAATGCCCAGGCTTTTTATCTATTGCAGCAACCAATGTGTGGATTGCGCAACTGTGTTCTCTGGATTATTAAACATTCAGCACGATAACGGATTCTAAACTGGCAAAAACTCCCACCTGAAAACTTCTCGCACAATTTTCAGAGGATCCGTTTTATGTAGGCCTGGGTAACTCAGTGAATTTTTAGGAGTTGGCGCAGTGTCACGCAAATGGCTTGGTGCGCCAACCAACGCACCGGCGCAGTCACTCAGTTCCGTGGCTGGGAAAATATTGATGCCTTATTTTACTTGTTTTTAATCTTATTGTCAAGAAGGGTCATTTATTAATACATTTTTTTAAATTTCTTCAAAATTTCAGAACTTTCCAGTTTTAGCCAAGTTACTCTTTCATCTAAATGCTCAATTCTCTAAAGTTTCACTTCAAAATTCTGGCAAACTTAAGGTATTTTTCACGATAAATTATGAAATTAATTTCGAATCTTTGGTCGCTTTGTAAAAAGTTTTAAAAATTTCTTTCAGCGTCGAATTTGGAACAAAAATCAAATAATTTTATATCAAAAAACGAACAGAATAAGCGAAAGTTTATAACATATTAGTTGGAAATCTCATCACCTCCATACCTCTGAAGACTGTAGGGTTTGTTAAAAAAAATGTGATTTTTCAGTTTTGATAGATTTTTTTCCTTGACTTTCTACTTAAAAACGCTCTATTTTGTAGAGTTTCACTTAAAAATACTAACGATCTGGAGGTCTTTTACGCCAAAAATTACAAGATAAATGTATAGCTTTGTAAAAATATTACAAAAACTTTTTTCAGCGTCGAATTGGGGACAGAGTCGAAAATAAGTTGCTCCCGTGTTTCCCCGAAAACCATGAAGGTTTTCTCAAAACCAAAAACGACCAGAGAGCAAAAGTTAAAACAAAATTATTTGGAAAATTCGCCGCCCATGGCTCTAAATTTTTGAAGGAGAGCGCGTTTTTGCCCCAATTTTTTAGGCGCGTGTTTAAACAGCAGCAAAAAATCTACATTCAGTGCAATTTAAATACAATTTCTCATTTCTAGGATGCAAACGTTCACTACCGCAAGGAAATTCTTAAAAGTGTGCACTTGCTCCAGTTTAGATATTTTTCCGTTACTTTCTACTCAAAACGCTCTTGTTTATAGTTTTAAAACTTTGTAAAAATGTTATAAAAACTTTTTTCAGGGTCGGATTCGGGACATAAACGAAAATAAGTTCCTCCCGTTTATCCCCGAAAACCATTAAGGTCCAGAAGGACAATCTTCAGGTATTTTCTGTGAAAAATTATAAGATACATTTTATTGGAACACTCGCCTCCTTAACCGCTTTGCAAAAATGTTTGGAAAACTTTTTCAACCTTGAATTATGGACAAAACCCTAATAATTATTTCTGGCGCTTTTTCCAAAAATATTTCTCCGAACTGAAAAATTATTTATTATCACTTTTAGGTCAATATTGCTAAACAATACTGTCTCTAAACACAAAATCCGCGTTTTTCCTAATGTTTTACTGTAAAATACTGGCAAACTGAATCTTTTATGCAAAAAAAATTAAGAGATCAATTTTACAAGAAAAGAGTTACAAGACTTCTGTCGCTGGAAAAATCTAGATAACTTTTTTTTAGTTGTTTGAACAAAGTAGTAAAACGTTACTCAGAAAAAATGTTAATGACCTTTTTTCACATGTGAAAATTCCAGTCTCGGGTCTCGCAAAGCTTTAATAAATGACTTATAACTCATGATCCGATGAGTTATAACTCGTTAACTCAGAGAGCGGCAACAACTCAATAGCACAAAAAGGAGCAAAATCGTACACAGATCTTCAATATTTGTATGCAATGAACTGGATTTCGTATCTACGGACGGAAAGAACTAAAACGACGGGAAAAAGGGGGAATTTGAAGAATAAAACTCGCGTTTATAGTGGTACGACATGGCAATATTCAATGAATCAACTAACAGACAACAGTCAATAAAACTAAAACAGAAAGACAAATTGAAATTCCTCATTCTCTTCGTTTTTCTTAAGCCTAAATTTCTCTCCTCGTTCCTCCTGTGTGGAGATTACTCCTTAAGCGCCTCTTGTAGCTTTTTGCGCACCAAAGCCACTCGATCCTCCTGCCTCTTGATGTCTTCTTCTGATACATTAACCGCCTGCACCAGGGGCTGCTTGGGGTCCAGAAAGACCCCCGGGTTCTTCTCCAGCGACACCTTGGGTCCCGTTTGGCCTGCTCACGATGAAAAGGTAATTTCATAAAAGTTTACAGTCTGGCTGAACTTGCCTGTGACAGAATTGGTCGAAACATGCAACGCGGTGGCGACGCTTTGTATGATTGTCTCCTCGGTCACATTGGGCCCCACGGGCTTGAGCCCCTTTGGCAGCTGCATTGCCTCGAATTCCACGCCGTCCACGTCGCAGGCTCTGAGCCCCTCTAGTCGCTTTTCCCAGAACAGTTGCTTGGGTTTCTCCTGAGTGCCATGCTTGCAATCTGCAACAGGAACCGTTAATTACGGCCGCGAAATAAGCCTAACAAAGCACCTGCTCTAGCTTGTCCTTCTTGCGTCTTGTACACGGTGACCGGCTGCTTGAAAATTGACGCCGTTTGTCGAATGGGGGGCACCAGGGAGGCGTCGCTCCTCATAGTCCTGTTGCCGTAATAGACGTCGACTTTATTCACCTGCAAACCGGATTTTCGCAACATTTCCTCCTTGCTGATCCGCTTCGGCAGCTGAGCACACTCATATTTCGTTTTTTCAATCGTAATTCCAAGCGGGATCGAGTTCATTGTTGCTCGGATGTTTACAAACACTGACTATGACAAGTGGGGTTAGGTTCGAATGATTCATGTTTCAAGGGGGGATGAGTGAGCAAGACGCTGTTGTGCTATGGGAGAAAGAAGGATGCTGCCACTAAGTATTGACGTTGCCGCTACCGCGGTCTGGGAGTCAATAGGCGGGTAGTTTGCAGGTTGGAGGTAGGCGTGTTTAAAATATGGGCTTTTTGCTCATTTTTAAGAAGTTGGACTTTAGCGGGTTTGGAAAAAAAATGGGAAAAAAGATTGAGTTTTTTAGAAAAAAATTGAGATTGATGAAATTTTTTTGGGAGTGAAACTAGTAATTTTTGAAAATATTTTTTCTCAGCTGGTTGGAAAGGGGATGGTCGTTTCTTAAGTACTGAATATTTCAGTTCGATTGGAATTTTTGCTGATTCTTGCCGATTTTTTTCCCTAGCGACTACAAGCGCATCTCAATAGCAACGCTTCGCACACTGGTTTCCGATCTTTGATTTCTCAACAAATTTTCAAGCTAGAAAGGTGCTTTGTGTGCCACTGGATGGAGCAGACTTTTCTTTACCAGTGTGGAAAATTTCAATTCAATCGCACCTTTTGACGAATTTATACACGTCCGATTGCAGGGGTTTCCTGGTAAAGGCTCAGGTTTGTTTTTACTAATTAATTGCGTAAAAATCCCTCAAGCTAGAAAAATGTTTGTTAGACCTCAAGGAAAAGGGTGTTTTGCTCTATAAATCTTCGAAATTTCAATCTGCTGATCATTTTCGTTGAACATTGCGGATTTTTTACTCCCGACAGCATGCGGCGCGTAGTAATGAGAACAAGGCAATGTGCGCTTATGGGAAATATCACTCAGATTGGAGCGCCGCATCACCTTGGACTGAGGGAATTTTGGGAGCGCCATTCACAGAATTCAGATCACTAGGATCCTTTTGTATGTAAAGTGAACGTTTTACTTGAACTTTTCACTGAACAGCTCGATAAGGTTGCACGCTTAGAACCACTTGTTTCGTACCACAGTAGATGAATACTGCTGGGGATCAAAACTGGGTTTGAAGAGTCTTTTGAGAAAAAGAGATTTTGATGAAAAAACTGGAGATTTTTGAGTTTGGATAACAATCTAGCTCTTGTTCTAGGAGATCGTGATCGGTCGGGGCAGTAGCCTTTCTAGTTGCGACCTTGCATTATTACTGCAAGGCCGTTCTTCGAGATTTATCCATTTGAAACCAAACACACACACAGGACCCATTATATTGATAATTTAATCGTTGGTGCGCCTAGACTTTTGCATAGTACGTACCCACTATAGATAGGTACTACCTATTGACCAGACTTAGTACCGGTTGATATTTTGCTGTGGCGACAGTAAACCGAGCGAATTCCTGCACGAATTCCGATCAGTTTTATTCAGTTTTTCCTGCGTTTTCGGGTCATGTTGTTGAATTGAACATGCCAGTTTTGGACACGCTGATGGAAATCGACAACGGGTATGTAAATTGTGGCCTGGCAAACTTTTCCAGTTCTCAGCTCTCTCGCCTGGAAAAGTAAACGTGAATAATCGCCGCGTTCGCTGATTTATCTGGGTCTTAAAGTTGCGAACTTTCCGAGTTTGCGAACAAATTAGTGCCGTAATGCGGACTTTATTTTGCTCGGTCCCCGTGTCCGAAGGACGGGACGTTTTTGTTCGACCCATGTCTAGCTGGACGGAGATTTTATTAGGACAAGCGGTCACTAATGAATTACACACAAAAAACTGCAGCTTTTGTCTATGAATGAAATGTCAAATTGTCCCGGCTCCAGAGGGAAAGTGTCTATTATTAAAATAACTTTCCCTAACTTTGGAAATGGGCAACTTTTGCTTGCTTATTAAAATATGTTTTCGTACAATATATTTTAATTGTAAATTGGTGTTTGTACCTAGTTTGTGTTGAATTTTAAATCTGATGATAGCGCTGTTGTCTCGCCGAAACGTAATATGAAATAAACGATATGAACATTTTTATTTCACATTTTGACTGAAACCCAGGAAAGAAAAAAAATAACTTCAGATAAAGTCTCTTCAGGGCGGAGAATGGAACAATGCAAGTTTCTGGAAGTTTCTCATCTTCCCAATTAAACAAAAAGTAGTTTTTAAAATTCAACACCAGACGCATCTGGGGCTCCGGGGAAATTTCGTCGGTCACTTTTATTTCTAGAATGACGAAAAAATCAACTTTTTGGTCTTGGACGAATAAAGTGATTCCTGCCGGACGGATTTTCGACATCTGTGGCTCATATTGAAGCTCAAATTTCGACAGTCTAAAAGCTCAAGAAACATATCAGTTTAATCTTCAGTATGTTTCTCGGACGTTTCGTAAGCGCACGAGTGGCAGGCATCTTCAAACGGTTTTCTAATGTAATTTTCGAATAGAAATCCGGCGGCCGAATTCGATCGATTTGGTGTAAAGCCCAGTTACCACCGTAAATAATTACGCATCCAATTTAGCATTGCATTTTGATTGCCATGAACTATTTAAAATTGCCCAGTAAACTGTTACATAAACTTACATCGATTTCACAGTGTCGTTTCAAATAGGAAACAACCTCGATTACCGGTTGCGATTAAGTAATGCGTGTTTTTTTGCGCGTTACTTAACGGTTCTTTGCCGAGTTGACACTGAGAGTGTGGAGTATTTCCAGATCTGGAAGCCTGGGGGCCACTCCAAAGCCCTTTCTGCAGCCCAGCCAGAATCCCTCCGATGAGCAGATGAGCAGCGACGCTGAAACATTGGAAGACGCCCGCAAGCTGATCAGAGACCTCAGGGCGAAGACCAGACAACAGGCTCAGCAGATAATGGCTTGGCGCAAAGCCTATAAGATGCAGGTAAAGAACGTGTAGCTGAATCGCCCTGTACAGGCAACAATAGATGGGGACTGATTCGTGACAAGTTACCCAATACTCGATCAATTCCCGATACAATTATTAGGTATATTGTTGCGAAAACGTGACTGCAAGATAAAATGAAGGCGTGAGAAATATAAAAAGGGAGCGTGGCAACCAGTCGGTCTAGATTGAAATTGAATTGTTTGTTCTTATTGATCAGATAAATAATTGCTGTTTGGTCCGCAGGAACTGTTCATAAGCAGACTGCAGCGCGAAAAATGCGACCAACTAAAGGCCATCAGCTCCAAGCTGTTGCTGTTCGAGTCGCGGCTCATTCGCAAGCAAAAGGACATCGCCATGATGCTGAACATGCGAGAAACCCTCATCTGCAAACAACAACGGTGAGTCCGCCTTGAGGATTTGAGGATCTTCTAATGAGTTTTTCAGTCTGATCGAAACCTTGACCATCCGACTGACCGACAACGGCCTAGACGTACCCCAGAACGAGATCACCGACATTGAGTACTGTTTTCCGGACCTCGAGTCGCTTAACGACTCAGACAGTGCTGTTGTAATGGAGGACGCAGACTACGAAAACCCCTATCAAATGCCCAAATTTCGCACTGCTGATGGCATCACGGTGATGCGTTCGATTTCTGATGCCATCGACCCCAATCTCAAATATGGCAGTCGCAGAAATAACGGCTTTCTCAGAAGGCCCGAAATACTCGAAACTGTTTACAGGTAATTTGGGAGCTGGAACGGAAAATCAACAGTAGGTGAATAAAACATGTTTTAGCGTGGAAGAGGACGCAGACAACGACAACCAAAAGGAAGAAATGAGCGACTTGAGCAAACGAAGGGAGTCGTTTGCAATGCGGGGCAAATCCAACTGCAACGTGGAATCGCACGAGGACAAAGAGGGCGGGCATTTGGTGCGGAAAAAATCGGCCGAAGACAAGGGCTGCTTTGACACAGCCTCCATCGAAATCACCAGCAGGTATGGAAATCGCGAGCGCAACAATCGTTTGTTGTGTTCACTTCTGTTGTCCTTCCAGGACTCCGCAAGGGGATGAAGAATACCACGAGGAAAACAGCCAGAAACCCAACACGAATCAAGTGAAAACTTACAATCGAGTCATGTCGAATCATCGCTCCGTAACCAAGCCCAAAGACGTGAAATACAAACGCATCAACAAGGCGAAATCGAAAAGCCTGGAAGAGTTGAGGGGCAGACTGAAAAACTGGGTGGAACAAGGAAGTAAACTTCCAGGGCTGCAGCTGGAGCACAGCCAGAGTTATGCCTAACAATGACCAATACCCATAACTGGGGCTGAATCAAAGCCCAACCTTTGCTTAACTTTATAGATATTTAATATAGATCATATCTCATGGCGTGATCAATTGGCCGACAAGCATAATCACAAAAGTCTAGCCTAAGTGGGACGCAATTCGAAGACAATCAACTTAATCAAACATGTAAATACCGATAACTAAACCAAAACAAATCGTTGATGTCGCCGCTTGAAACTATGTACATAAAGTTGTGAAACCCAAAGGCCTAACTCAATCTCTATTTGTTCCTTTTAGTTAAGTTTCGTGCTGACTGCTGAGGCACGCTGAACGATACTTTGCTTTTACACGTAGCTATTTAGTCATGTAAGATTTCGAATTTTACCAAAGTTGTAAATGTTTGAGGCGTATTAAAGCTGTTGCCTCCACACAGTGGGTTTTAATGCCAGTTGTCCGTCCTCATCAATGCGAGCGCGCAATTTCCGAAAAATACTGCAAAATATCTTCAATGGAGAACTCCAAAGAGACCATCGACCCTGGATAGCATTGCTGGATCAGTTCTTCCAGCATTTTGTACTGGCGGATGAATTCCTCTTGCATCGCCCGCCAAACCACCTGCAGCAAGTTTCCTTCTTCCGACAAGTGCTTTTCCACCTTTTTATACAGCGATTCTATACCCTTTTTCACCTGGAAAACACACATTTTTTAGCCTGAAAGGGAAAATTTACATAAATAGATCACTCACATTGCTTCCCGGGTACTGATTGATCACCTTCCTCAGCTCCTGCTTGCTGTAAGCCAGCTGATAGCTGACTTCCGAAGCTTTAACACCACTGGCCACTTTGGCTTGCACCCCTTCGAAGAACGTCTGGAAAACCACCGCGAGTTAAACCCAGAAAACCCGAAAAACCCGCCCTCACATTGAGTTTCTCCAGGGGTCTTCCAAAGTAGAGCGTTACGTAGGCTTGCAATGCATCATTGTACCTCTGCTTCGTCTCCTTGCGCTGCACATCCAGAACGGAGATCTTCAGCTGCGACAGCAACGAGTGCAGATGATGGTAGTTTTCTGAAAAATTTACCTTATACTTTCCTCATTACTCACTCGCTTTCACTCACCCATTTTCACGACCTGGGAGGGTGTCTTTTGCTCATTGGCGTGTACTGGAATATACTCGATAATGGTATCGATCAGGCGGGTGTACCACTTCTCCAGATCGGCCGCCCGGTCGCTTTTCAGGAGACACTCCACATTGACGGCGAATATTTCCAGATTGGACACATAGGGGAGAATACCTACTTTGGACTTTCTGGCCAATCGACAGTCTTTCACCGACTCGATTTGGGTCTGCATGAACTGGTCGAGGGAGCGCTTCACTTCCACCAATTGCGACGCAAAAGTGTTGCTCAGAAATGAGCTCTGCGCCGACATTACGTGCTGATTGAGGCCGATGAGCACGTACATGCAATAGCTGCAAAAAACGCCCAAAAATCTATAAACATTTTCCAGCTTTCCCGAGACTGTTTATGCAGAAAGTAATAGATGACCAAAGTTGAAAAGTCAGAGGACTCTACAGTTTAGCTGGCAGATCTCTAGGGTGGAATTATAAGGAAGTTAAAAATAATCAAGAAAAATCGTGCCATTTTTACTTAACATGGTGTAGAAAGAGTGGAAAAGATGCAAACTTCAAACTTCGAAAATCAAGAGTTTCCAACGGCTTTTAAAATGATAATTTGACTGGCGCCAAAAAACAAAGTCATGAGCAAATTAAGAAAACCCTAGCGCTCTTCACATAACATTTTCTAGCATTCTAGAAAAAGAGCATCCAGAGTTCCAACCGGCCATTTAAACAGTAGATTGAGATTGAAAATTGCGCGAACAGAAACGCAGTCATGAGTGAATCAAAGAAAATCTTGCGCTCTTCACTTGACTCCTAGATATAGCGCAAGAAAATTGAAATTTTGAAGCTCACGAGGACTAAGCGCCCTTTAAAATGATAAATCGTTAATGATAACTGCACAAAAATACCGAAATTTTGCTAAGATCGACGAAAATCGTTCGCCACTCTCCTAACGTCTTCTAGAAATGGCGCAAAGCAATTGAAATTTTCAAGTTGCAAACTTTGAACACTCAGAAGTCTAAAATAATGCCTTTAACTGCTAATTTGGTATTTAATATCGTCCAAAAAAGCGAAGTCATGAGCAAATTAAGGAACATCTAGCGGTATTTACTTAACAGTTTCTAGAATTCTAGAAATAGCGCAAGCCAGTTCAATTTTCGGATATGTAAACTATGTAGGCCAAGAGTTCCCAACGGCCATTCAAACAGTATGTTGAGATTGAAAATTGCGCGAACCGGAACGCAGTCATGAGTGAATCAAGAAAAATCTTGCGCTCTTCACTTGACTCCTAGATATAGCGCAAGAAAATTGAAATTCTGAAGCTCACGAGGACTAAGCGCCCTTTAAAATGATAAATCGTTAATGATAACTGCACAAAAATACCGATATTTTGCTAAGATCGACGAAAATCGTTCGCCACTCTCCTAACGTCTTCTAGAAATGGCGCAAAGCAATTGAAATTTTCAAGTTGCAAACTTTCAACACTCAGAAATCTAAAATAATGCCTTTAACTGCTAATTTGGTTTTTAATATCGCGCAAAAAAAGCGAAGTCATGAGCAGATTAAGGAAAATCTAGCCCTATTTACTTAACAGTTTCTAGAATTCTAGAAATAGCGCAAGCCAGTTCAATTTTCAGATATGTAAACTATGTAGGCCAAGAGTTCCAAACGGCCATTCAAACAGTGGGTTGAGATTGAAAATTGCGCGAACTGGAACGCAGTCATGAGTGAATCAGGGAAAATATTGCGCTCTTCACTTGACTCCTTCTAGACATAGCGCAAGAAAATTGAAATTTTGAAGCTCACGAGGACTAAGCGCCCTTTAAAATGATAAATCGTTAATGATAACTGCACAAAAATACCGAAGTTTCTATAAATGGGGCAAAGCAAATTAAATTTTCAAGTTGCAAACTTTGAAAGACTCAGAAGACTAAAATAATGCCTTTGAACTGGAAATTTGATTTTGAAAATGGCGCAAAAAAAGCGAAGTCATGGGCAAATTAAGGAAAATCTTGCGCTCTCCACTTAACATTTTCTAGAACTAGCGCAAGACAGTATAATGTAACTGCTAAACTAGTCGAATCCACATCCACTCACAAGCTATCCTGCCGTTTAACGTGATCGATCAGCAAGTCCAGCTCGGTCTTCAAGCAGGCAAACAGGGTGCTCATCATGCTTCGCACATCTTCATCGATCTGCTTCTCCATCTTCTTCTGAGGCAGGGCGATTTCCATTGTAGCTTCGCACCCGTCCAGTGTTGTAAGGGTGTTTTTGGAAGTGGGGCTCAGCACATCCAGCTGGAATGGGGCGACTTTACAAAGGTCAAGAGCGAGTGCGACTTTACCTGGAAAAACCGCACGCAAAACTGCTGCTCCTGTAGAAAAACTGGCTCCAACTGAGTAAGAACTTGCTCCAGGATGGTTTCATATCGCCGCCTATCGGCAGCGCTGGTTTCCAGCGTCCAGAAGTCGCGGTCCAGGCCGATTAGAGTAGTGGGCGACGCCACTGCGTAAGCTGAAACCACATCAGATTAGCAAGTCAATTTGGAGTCTTGGAGGCTTCAAACCGCCAATTTTCTCCCTAGCAGCGTTGAACAGCCCCCTCAAGTCTCGGTCATACAGCTTCCCTAGCGAGGACGTGTACACCTCCTTTAAGGAGTCGTACATTTTCTTGTCCATCACCTGGAACACCCGCAAAAAATCAACCACTCAAAACCAGCGTCAAAGTCCAGCAACTACCTTCATCCAATGCATCAGCTCGGTATAGGGATAGAGTTCTTTGTGCACGCCGCTGTGTTGGGGTAGGATGAGCCCCTCCACGCTTTTATCTGCCTCCCCTTTATGGTTCCCATAGTGGATGAAGAGGTTGTTCAATTGCCGGCTCAAACTCCTGGAGAACTTCTCCTTGTATTTCTCGAACTTTTTGCGCTGTTCTTGAACAGCGGACATCTGAAGAAGGGCCTTATCGATGTCGGAGTTCATGGCCACTTTCAATGCCTGTGCAGCCTTGACTGAGAAGGTCAGCCCTTCGGGGGTGGTGAAATCTGCGTCGTCCAGAGCCTTCTGATAGTCCATCGGCAAGTCCAAGGTGGTCTGCAATGGTTTCAGTGAAGTGATTTATTGAATAGAACGGGGGAAGTTGAGGAAATCACCACGATATTCTCCAGCTCCCCCATTAGCTGCTGGTTGTTCTTGTTGACGATGGAATTCATCGAGTTTTTCTTCTCCATTGTTTCCATTGTGTCGCGCACATGGCACAGGATCTCATCGTAGTTGTCCAGCTGCGTTTCCAACCGGTCAGCTTCGTTGATGGCCAGTTCCAGTTGTTCCATCAGGCTTTCCACGTGCTCTTCTGAAGCCAGCACACATTGAACGTTTTCTCCATCCAACAGGGACAAATCCCTTGCCAGTATCTCCATGAAACCTTCAGCGTTGCTGATGGCAAACTCGCAACCTTCCATTAATCTGTAACCACATAAATCCATCAGCCCCATTTAGCAGTTGCAGTGCCCAAATGGTTACCGCTTTAGGTCATCTTGCTCCTTATCGGTAATGGCCTGAAAGTCCTCCACCAGGTCGTTATCGAAGACAATCAAGGGCGACGTAATGAAGTTGCTTTCGGGCGTGAGGGCGTCCTCAGTGATCCACGCTTTGGGAATGTTCTTGAACACGGGCGTGTCTTTGACCACATGCTTGGACACCTGCTTCCAGAGGTTGTGGATGAAGGCGTAGCGCTCTTTAGGGCTGCTGGACACCCAACGATACACCTTGTCAAAGTACAAGTCGAACTCCTGGGTTTCATAGAGCTCGCTGTGCCCGTCCACGGACTTGAGCTCGACCAGCGACCAGCTGCGCTTCCTTTTGTAAACCTGCTTGTCCGTTTGCTTGATCTGGATGATCCAGACGTTGAAGGGAACTGTAGTGGTACCAACCAGGCATAGGAAGGACGTCTTTTTCTTCTTCAGGTACTTGCTGACGTGACAGCAGGAAATCAGCCTCTCTTCGCCTGGATTAAACACGTCCTGTTGCAGGCTGCGAATCACTGCTGAGGACATTGTTTCAACACTTTTAAGTTGAACTAGTTTGTGTTTATTTACATCTGTTCTGACACTACGACTTCTAACCTCAAAGAGCCGTGGGGAAATTTATTTCGCTGCCAACATTGCAGAAGGACCCTTTTCTGATGTGGTTTCCATTCTGGGAACTCCAGTGGAGGATTGGCAAACAACTCTGCCAAACAGCTTTGTATGCCGAAATCCGTATTATTTTCCTCTATGTTTGGCGCTAACTGGTTGGCCAGCTTTACATTGTTGATTTTGGACTGCACATCCAATAATACAAGCAACGTTTATTTTAATTTTTGAGTTTAAAATACACATTCAAACATGGTTTTAATGTGTAAAAACTCTACGTAACAGAAGAATAATTTTGAAAAATAAAAATAGGTTATATTCTCGTGACATCTCCAGTAAGCGTCCCAGACCATAGAACAAGGCTTATCCATAGAACAAGGCTTATCCCAGACCATTCCTAGACACAGAACATACCCCCTTGGATATTTTGGGGGGATATTTTGTGGTCCCAAAGCGAAACTTTTGCGGCGCTAACCCTAATTAAAGCGGTTCAAAGCTTTCTTCTTCTCTGTCTCATCAGTCTTTATCTATGGTTCAAAGCGTTTAATTGAAGTTTAAAGACGCTGTCACCGCAAGCATGTGTTTATTTACATGTACTCAAAGTTTACTTTATTAATATCAGTTTCTGTTAGTAAATAATGCCTTAAACGCATCGCAATCGTGGTTCTGCCGCCCTAAACCAATTGTGAAATCAGAAAAGTGGCTCATTATGGAGTACGACAAGCAGATAAATACTTTAGTGTCAGGTAAGCTGCTATTGTTTTATAGGCCCAGTTTTCTCCAGAATTTGCCCCAATAAGGCCTAGTTCCGCTTGAAACAATAATTTCCTCTAGCTTAGTAACGCCAGATGGTTTCTTGCAGGCTACTTAAAAGCACATTGCAAAAGCGCCTACAAAGTGTTCTTGAAGAGTCAACATGTGAGCCCACGGCACATGAGCCATTGGGTGGCCGGCCAAACTTTGGAGGTGATCTTAAAGAACTACTCCCGTATTCAGGATATTGGTGAGAGAAACCATAGTTCTAGTACCCAGTTCAGTTCAATTCAATCCCCTTTTTGCCCACCCACCTTGTCCCTTATTGTAAGCCCTTATGCGAGCTAGTAAATAGTAAAACACTTTGGATTCTGTTTAGTACATGGATGTTTGGAGGACACGGACTACTGCAAGGAAAAGGGAGTTGAGGGCTGTTCTCCTTATTATTTACCTGAACAGCTGCTGTACTTACTAGAAAGAGATCGGCCTGCAACGCCTGCATCTACCATTGCCACGTTAGATGAACGGCACGTCTATTTGCCTCGAGTTTCAATGTATTTTGTTGACTTTGGGAGTTTTCAGGTCGCCTGAACCTCCCCAAGTGGAGTCTCGTCCTGACGGGGAAGAAGTCTCCGATAACCCGAGCGAGGTTGAAGCAACGCCGACTCATCTGCTGCCCGGGAATATTTCGTCAGTAAGTCCCCAGATTTGGACCGAGTTGAGCAGCGTTTATTTCAGCTGTTCACAGATCATGACCGAGAAGCTGCTACAAAAGACGGATTTCCACGAAAAGCTGGCGCACAACATAAACAGCGCCCTTAACGTGCCCGAACTGACCAGTCTGTCGGAAAAGTGCGATAACGACGTAAGTCTCAATTTGCTCAAACGCGAGCAGGGGTCAACCGTGAAATTTTCAGATTGAGTTGGAAAACTCCATAAAAAAAGCCCTGAATCGGACGGAGGCTGACCCAATATTCCACAGTTTGCTCGAGGATCTTCTAGGTCCAGTTAGCAACCAATTAGAGCGTGCTGAAAGGTAGCTAACGTTAGCAGCGACTGAATGAACCACTAAAAAGTGTTTTGCAGTCCCAAAGCAACAGAACCAACCCCAGAGCAGCAGCCAGTTTCAAAAGAACAAATCCCCAATGGGAACGAACAACCCAACCAGGTGCGGCAGCAGGAGCCGGTCAACGTTCAGACAACCGGCCTGTACGTGATTCCTTCGCAACCAATCGCCCAGGCCGCCAATCAACAGTACTACATAGTAAATCAGCCGATTCTAATACAGCAACCCAACCCCCAGGCGCTGCTGCAGCAGTTCCAAATCCCCAATCAGTTACCAAGTGTGGACACTTCGCAGAAAAGTTGCGGCAAGTTTAGCGAGCAGGACATTATGTCGATGCCCACGATATTCGTCAACGACAGGAACGAGCTTACCTATTCTGGTAAGATATGAGCGCCAGTTTTTTGGGTAGTTTATGCAGCGGTTTGCCCCATATTCCAGATCAACAAAGCACCAGCACGCCAACCGAAGTACGCAATGCTAAGGAATACTTGAACGCATTCGGGGCCGGCAACCACAGCCCCATTTTGAGTAAGGGGCGACCGCGAAGAAAACCTCCGAAACCGAGGGCTGCAATGTCGGACTGTGTTGGAACCATCCAGCCCAAGCCCAGTTTCGTCTTTGAAGTGCTGCGCGCAGAGGTGCCTGTGCAGACCTGCACTGTAGGTGACGTTGTAGATGTGGAACCAGTCTCCAAAGAAGTCAGGAACTTGGCTCCGATCTGCACACCCTCTCCTCTCGTTGTTGCCTCTACGAAGAATCCTACTCCCAAGAGCGGGTCCCATGTCAGGAGCCTCCAGTTTCCTTCACCGGTGCGGAAGACAGATATTCAACTGTCGGTCGGCAAGCAGAAGGCGTCCAAGGAACTGTTTAAGGGGAGCGGGAAGAAGCTGTCAACGCCGCAGCGGAAGAAGAAGTGGGCTTGGGACGCTTCTTTGAGGAACAACATTATGATCCCTGAAAGTCCGCCGCGCGTTAAAAAGCCGCAGAAACGATCCCGGCCAGTAAAACTGGATGTGTCGGACACCGATGGGAAGACGCTGGAGGAGGCGTTGCGCTCACCGCCTAGACTGGACCATCCCGAGCCCAAGCCGCAAACACCGGGTTTGGACATCAAGAAAATCGTGTCACCTTCCGTCCTATGCAATACGGCCAGCAAACGGAACATGGAGGTAGATGGGGCGGCAGCTCCCAAACCCCCCATCCTCAGTGCACGCAAGAACATCAACAGCCTACTGGAAACCCCCGCCAAGAAGGACAAAACCCCTGTGGGCTTCAGCACCACCCCACTCACCCCCATGTTAAAGGCCAACTTGAAGGGCATCATAGTGGGCGACACCTTTTCCATCGACACCCCCGATTTCCCCATCACTCCAGGCATGTCCCTGATGGATCATCCCTCCAACTCTGCCTACTGCATTCTGAAGGAATCCGAAGCCGATAAGGCCACGCAGGCGGGCGTTTTGGAGGAGGAGAAAAAGTCGAGCGTGAGGAAAACTGACGACAGCGATGGACCGTTCAGCCCGAAAGTCTACGGCACCAAGGAGACTCTGGATGCGTTCAACCGCAACCAGACAGGGAAGAAGAACTTGGAGTTGCTGGATAAGGACGGTGTCCAGTGGGAGACCAAGAGCGACCTTAGCGAGGATGACCAAAACAAGACGGTTATTTGCAACCCCCCGAAGGCTCACAGCGGGAGGGCGGCTCGGATTACCAGAAGTGCGACCGGCAAAAGCTTGGCTGCCCTCAAATGTCAAATGCTCCAGGAGGAACGCAAGGAGAATTCAGAGGTAGGTCTTATTTATTTACTTAATCACCGTTTTTGAGTTGAGTCAATCATTAATCATTCATTGTTGATTTTAACTAGGCTCAATCAAAGAAGGAGCCGCAAGCCCTCAGCAGCGACAGCGAAGAATCCGGCAATGTGGACAGGAGCAGGAGCAAATCAAAGAAAAAACCCGCTAGGAAAAAGGAGAGTGACAAAAAAAGCAAAGTGCCAAAACCCAAAAAGGCGCCCCCCTCCAAGGCTAGATCAAGAAAGTCTTCAAAGAGCCCTCAAGCTGTGCCGAAGCCCCCAGTTAGCGGCCCGGACACTTCAAGCGCTGCGGAAGCAAAGCCTCAGAACAATCCGGAATGTTCATACGACGCTGATTGCTCTAGTGGAAAAGGGCAGCTGGAAGGCCCCGAAAACTCCGAAGAAACAGCAGCCAATTCTGGCAAGTTCGAGCCATTCCACTTGGGAAGTAGTATCCTGACCCCGCTCGCTTTAGCTAGCGGCCCGGTCGCTCCCAGCTTGAAGGAAGAAGTCGAAGAGAAGCGAAAACGGATGATCGAGCTGGACAAAAGGGACGTCCGAAAGCTCTCGAAGACGCCATCGAGGCGAGGATCAGCCAGATACAAGCCGGATGTGAGGCACAAGCGAAAGGGGTCGGTGCCGATGAGGCTGATGTCGAACGGGACTGAAGAACAGCTCTTCCAGGCTGTTTCTCAAGATGAATTCTTTGAGAAGATTGGTTCGAATCTGCATAGAACAAACAGAAGCTCGCACAGCGAGGGTGGATCTGAAGAGTCCAATCAGTCGAAGAAAGCTTGTAAGTTGTCGTCAACTCCATCAATCTCTGCTAAATCATTTTGTGCAGTTAAAATAGGAAACGAGGCAGCTGATGAATACCAGTGGGATCGATGTACGGTTCAGCTACAATCGAAAGAAAAATTGGTAGTTTTTGACGAAGCAACTGGCCCTCAGCGCTCCCGGGAAGAATATGACTGGAACCTGGAAAACAAGGGATTTGTGGTCAGCATCCCCTTGGAAGGCGAACGGGAGCAACCAGTTAAAATTACCATAACGACAGCTAGAACTCTATGGGAGATACCGGGCCTAGAAATGTCCTCTGGAGGAGGCAGCGATCCAGAGGATTCAAAGACGTAAGTCCACTCGATCAAACCAATCCTCCTCTTCTTGCAGCTCTGGGTTTCAGGTCCAGAAAGAGAAAACAGCGCTCGGACAGCTGCAGCTCCAACGGGCAGGCGAAGAAGATCAAGCCCGCCCTGCACCCAAGTTTCCTCAACGAGCAGAACATTGAAATGGTGCTGACTAAACTACACGGCCCCAATTACAAGACTTCGTAACCGTACCTTGTATGTAAAGTTGCCAATAAAGGTGGTTGTAATTGTTTCTTTATTTTTAAATGAATAAATTACATAAATTAACTAGTTTTCTGTGGTTCTTTGGCCGCTTTCACTCTCTGGCGTAGAGCTGCGCCAGCCTAAAAAGAGGTTGATTGCAGCGATTCTACAGGATTTTGCTTCGGGCTCTTACCTTTGGTAAGACAACTTTTTCTCGATCCTCCTCATCGCTGCGCAGTACTTGCCGGAGCAACTTTCCTCCTCCTCATTCTGGATCATAAACTTCCGCAGAGCGTCCCCTACAAAGGCGGCAATCTCATTGAGCCGTTGGTCCTCTAAAAAACATCCCTTACTCAGCACCAAGTCGACTCTAATTCAGCCCGCACATACCTTCCGAAGACTTTGAAAGCGCCCGCTCCTGCTCGCTGTCTTCACTAAAAAATCCCTTCTTTTTCTTGAAAGACGGGATGAAAAGAAGCAGGAAGAGGATGGCTATGAAACTGACGATCTTCTTGAAGATGATCAGCTTGAGCAGGATCTTCCCAAAGGTGAGCAGATCGAGCTTCCACTTGACCTTCTCCCACACTTTGTCCCATATGCTGATCATAGCGTGTGGGACTCCGTAGAAGACCTGCAGATTCTGCGCCGGAGGGCCGTACCTGTGCAAAACAATCACCAAAAATTCAAAAGAAGGAAAAAATACTTACTGTGGAGTGGGTTCGGCGAATGAACCATACGAAGGTCCGTAGTGAGGAGCTGGAGGGCCATATTGGGGACTGGGAGGGCCGTATTGAGGACTGGGAGGGCCGTATTGAGGACTGGGAGGGCCGTATTGAGGACTGGGTGGACCGTATTGAGGACTGGGTGGTCCATAGCCGGAGTTTGCAGGTCCGGGATAAACCGGGTAACCGAAGTCGCTTTTCTTCTGCGCTTTGGGGGCCGCTTTTGAGTCTTCGTAAGCCTCCAAGTAGGAATCGCGAGCCGATATTTTCACCACCTCTTCCGCGTAGCCTCCTGCAATAAAGCAGACGGCGAAAAGTGCCAGCCTTGCCATGGTTCGATGAAAACTGGAGTGGAAATTTTGGTAATTGGTTCCATTGCCTCAATCGCTTTCTTCCCTTTTGGTATTCGGCGGCTGTACCACTGTGCTACCGGGTGAGTGAGTTGCCACCTGGAGTTGGATTGCGCAGCTCAGAAGGAGTGTGAGGGCTTCTGAGCGCTCAGTTGGGGCTCTTTGAGGGCGTTGAGGCTTTGGTGGGGGCTTTTGAGGCACAAGGCTTCTGGGGCTGGAGAAAATTGGTGGCTGTTGTTGATGTTGAACAGCCCTGGTAGCGAACGGGGCTCATTGTAATTCATTGAAAATGCTTCCGAAGAAATGCGACCGCATGTGACTGCAATAGCAAAGAGACGCGTTTTAATTAGCTTTTTCGCACTTAGTGGGCAACATATGCTAAGTCTAGCTTTTCATTAGAAGATCCACATAACTCTGGAAGAAGTCTTCAAAGAGCGCATTTTTCAGAGGAAACATTACCTCCGCCTATGAGGTTTTAAGAAATCAAGGGCATTCTTGACTGTGATGTAATATTGAGATTATTCTAAATTCGGGCAAGATCTTCTTGGGGGGGCCGTAAACAGCAAACCCCCCAATTTGCGAGCAGACGGTGAAAGGAAAAGTGAAATGAGAGCAAGAGGAAAAGGCAACGTGCGTTTACGAGGCTTTTGCTTAAAAATAAGCCGTTTTATACTTAGACGAATACAGTTTTATCTCAGTTTAGCATATCTGAGGCTACATGGCGCAGAATCTGGTAGGCTGCCGCCAAACCGAGGCGAATACCCACTTTTAGTTGGTTTCGTGGTAAATCGAATCGAGTATCGGCACTTGGCACGTTTTCCTGCTCTCTAGTTTGCATGTTTTCTTTACAAACTGAATGGTGAAGTGAACATTGAAGATTCTTTGGTACCATGGACGCTCCCATGGATCTGGACACCCTTATGGGGTTTATGGGTTCGTACCAACTTTGGCTGCCCACTTGCTTGCGAATGTTCCCTCGAGAGGCTCGATATTAATCCACTAACAATTACTAGAAATTGCTGAAAACCGCAATGCGGTTCCAAGTGAAAGGGACCTTTTTGTAGTGATCAATTGAATTTTAATAAATGCAGATGAAAAAATGTGGGTTTTTGCAAAGGAAAAAGCTTAGATTTTTCTATTTGGTCTGAAAGTTTCGCTTTTGAGTCGCCATTAGGAATTTTTTCAAAAAATTGCGAACCTTTGCCGCATGTCCACGACATTTAAAATTATCAAGAAATTCGCTATTCATTAATTAATTATGGCAAAACCTAACCAGACAAAATACTGTTGATTATTCTGTCAGGAAAAGCTGGCGTTTTTTAATTTGTCCTGAAAGTTTCATTTCTGAGTCGTCATCAGGAGTTTTTTGAAAAAATGTCGAACTTTTGCCGCATGTCCAAGACACTTTAAATTATCAAGCAACGTTTCATTCATTAATTAATTGCGGCAAAGAGTGTCGAGATACAGTTATGCTGATTTTTGCATATAAAAACGGCGAGTTTTTTTATAGGTGATGAAAGTTTCACTTGTGAGTCATCATCAGTAATTTTGGCAAAACAATATAAACTCTAGCCGCTTGTCATTTTTTTAAAATAATCAAGCAATTCATTAATTAATTGTGACAAAACCCATATAGATAGAAAGCTGCCGATTTTTGCATTAGAACCCCCCAAGTTTTCTTTAAATGACCCCAAAGTTTCGTTCTGGGTCATCTTCAGAGATTTTTTGAAAAACTTGCAACTTATGCGTCGTGTCACTCGACGCCGTGTGCTTTCTTTTTAATAGTAAATGACGACAAATTGGTTTCAAATAGAAACTTACAAAGGTTTGTACAAGAGAGCGCCAAATTTTCATTATTATATAGACCCGTGAGTTCCACTTTTAAATCGTCATTAGGATATTTTTGACAATTTTTTTTATTTGTGACGTGTTCAAAGACGAGTTGTTTAATGATTAATTGCAAATAAATAGATCCATGCAGAAAAGCGAAAATTTGTACATAAGAAAGGCTAGAATGTCCTTTAAAATTCACGAACAAACACATTTTTGAGTTATCACCAGAAAGTTTTTCAGAATTTTTTCACTTGCGACGTGTCCAAGAGCGGCATAAAACGACGAAAAATGCCATCATTTTATTAATAAATCTTAAACGTTTCATTTGTAAGTTATCATCAGGAATTTTTGGAGAATTTTTTAGCGTGCGACGTGTACAAATGCACGCTTGAAATTACAAAAAAAATGCGTTTTTACTTATTAATTGCAGGAAATCCAATTTCATTAGAAAGGTGCAAGTTTTTATGCAACAAACACCAGCATTTTCGTTATCAATTTTGAAAGTTTTGTTTCTGAGTCATCAGGAATTTTTTGAGAATTTATTTTACTTGAAACGTGTCCAAAAGCGACTCGAAATCACTAAGAAGCGCATTTTTTAACAATTAATTGTACGAAAACTGATGTGACTACAAAGGCTTACATTTTTGCGCAAAAAACACAAATAATTTTGTTATGAATCCAGGAGGCCTCATTTCTGGGTCATAATCAGGAATTTTTTTTTTAATTGCGAACTTTTGCCGCATGTCCAAGACATTTTAAATTTTCAAACAACTCACTATTCATTAATTAATTACGGCAAAACATAACGAGATAAAATTATGGTGATTTTTGTGTATGGAAAAGCTGAGATTTTTTAATCTGTCCTAAAAGTTTCACTTCTGAGTCATTATCAGGGATTTTTTGAAAAAATTGCGAACTTTTGCCGTATATCCAAGACACTTTAAACTATCAAGCAACGTTTCATTGATTAATTAATTGCGGCAAGGAGTGTCGAGATACAGTTATTCTGTTTTTTGCATATAAAAACGGCAAACCTTTTTTATAGGTCATGAAACCCAAGCCCACTTTTGAGTCATGATCAAGGATTTTTTTCAAAACAATATCGACTCTAGCCGCTTGTCATAAGAAATTTTAAATAATCAAGCAATTCATTAATTAATTGTGCCAAACCCATGCAGATAGAAAGCTGTCGATTTTTGCATGAGAACCCGCCAAGTTTCAATAGAAAATAGTTCAAATAGAAACATGTAAGGGTTTGTACAAGAAAGCGCCGAATTTTCATTATTAGACCCGTGAGTTCCACTTTTAATTCGTCATTAGCAATTTTTTGAGAATTTTTTTATGTGTGACGTGTTCAAAGACAGTGTTCAAGAGAGTTGAAATCAAGACAGCAGATCCTTGTAGAAAAGCGAAAATTTACATAAGACCGGCTAGAATGTCCTTTATAATTCACGAACAAAAACATTTTTGAGTTATGACTGGAAAGTTTTTGAGAATTTTTTCACTTGCGACGTGTCGGCATATAACTACTAAGAAACGCGTTATTTAATCATTAATTACAAGGAATTCAACCCAACTATGTCTGTATGTCAAATGTCTGTATAAAAAAGACCAGCATTTTCTTAATAAATCCTAAACGTTTCATTTGTAAGTCATCATCAGGAATTTTTAGAGAATTTTTTAACTTGCGACGCGTTCAAATGGACGCTTGAAATTACAAAAAAATGCGTTTTTAGTGATTAATTGTAGGAAATCCAACTGGATTGGAAAGACGCAAGTTTTTGTGTAACAAACACCAGCACTTTCGTTATCAATTTTGAAAGTTTCGTTTCTGAGTCATTATAAAGATTTTTTTACTTGAAACGTGTCCAAAAACGACTGAAAATTACTGGACTCAAAATAACTTAAAAACGGTTTTTTTCATAATAAATTGATGGAAAACTCATACGATTACATTTTTCCGCAATAAACACCAACATTTTCATTCTGACTCCTGAAAGTTTCATTTTTGAGTCATTATCATGGATTTTTTGGAAGTTTTTTTACTTGCGACGTATCCAAAGAGTACCGAAAATCACTCAAAAATGTCTTTTTAATAACTAATTGCAGGGGAACCGCTTTGATTGCAGAGACGTAAATGCTTGCATAAGAAACACTAGTTTTTTCGTTTGTTCGTTTTCGTTTCACCCTGAAAGTTTCATTTTCATTTTTGTGTCATCATCAGGGATTTTTTATTTGTAACTTCTTCCTCATTGATGACCAAAACCGGATCAATCAGACACCTGAAAGTCTGGTAATCTTCAGGAAAACCAAAGCACTTCCTGTGGCGTTGAGATATTGAAAAAATCCGAATAAATCATTGCACGAAACAGTAAAACCACAATCAGGCAATTATTTGCTTTAGCTTCGTAGCTGTGACCTGCATATCACTGATAACGCTAATAATCCAGTCAATACTAGTAGTATTGTTAGCCTGAGCCAAAGATGAACTTATCTTACTCGCACTGTGACAAATTACAAATAAAGATTGGCTCCCATCGAAGCCATTAACATCAGCGCATTTTAGCTCAAATATTTGCCTGGTGATAATGCTTAATGATGTTGTGCCTAAGTAGAAAATGACGATAGGCAACTGAGTCCTAATCCTGCTAACGAGGAACATTCCTGGGATGTTCCTGCAATTAAATCGTCGCACAATGCTCGTTATTTGAACCGTTCAGGTAACAGTGCTTGTTGTTTCAGCCTGATTAACATGCATGCTAATACACGCGAAACAATAGCCAAAGGTGAAATTGATGCGTATTACTATTCATTTTATTGCATACCAATTCAACTATCAGCGTCATGCGCTTAAGCCTTGGCATGTTCAATCAGTTTGGAATCTTGGAAAAAATGGAGACTTGGCGCGAGCCTTTATCTCCTATCATCTGCGAACAATCAGCCAAAAGCACTTTTATTCTTCTACTCGTCAAATTTTAATTCTCAATGCTTTACATTTTTTCACCAGTGTATAATAAGGCGCAATTTCACACGGTGAGTGCGACAGAAGCAGCGCATACGCAAGTAGCCGAGAGAGAACGCCTGATGTGGATCGAAACTGTGTCGGGTCGAAATAAACTGCTGCAAAATTGAAGCGACTAGTTTTCCTTCTTATTCGTCAATTTAAATTCTCAATGAAATTATTATTTAGAATACTCAAGTAGATTCTCTCGAAAATGGTCAAGATGGTAAAATTTGCAGGAGACTTCGGCAAATACCAGGGCTGGCAGTTTGCGTTGCACATTCTGTCTGCGGTGACCGCAGGCCTCAATATGCTCTCCCTAGTGACAGTAGCCGCTGTTCCAGACCATCGGTAATCCAGCTCCTCCTCCACTTTCACCTCCCAAACCAGCGTTTTGCTTCCAGATGCAAAATCCCGGGAGAAAACGGCTCCAGCTTCCACAACGCCACTTCCATAGCTGACTACATCCCCATGCTGCCCAACGGTAAGATGGACAGCTGCGCCCTCATAAACTCCACCAGCAATTCCAGCTACCGCTGCGACCAATGGGTGTTCGATGACACCTACTACCAGTCCTCCACAGCCATGGATTGGACGTTTGTCTGCGACCGCAGGTGAGCTCGGGTGGGGAAATGGGCGGAGTTTGAAACCCGGTGTTCTAGGTGGATGGGCGCAGTCGCTCAGTCCATGTACATGTTCGGAGTGTTCACTGGGGCAGTTTGGCTGGGCAACATGGCCGACAAGTATGGCAGGAAGCCGATTTTCTGCTGGTCGGCCCTCCTGCAGCTCATTCTGGGGGTTGGGGTGGCCTTCGCCCCCAACTACTACTCGTTCATCATCATTCGCTATCTGTATGGTATCGTCGGCTCAGCTGGCAGCTACATTCCTGGATTCGTGCTCACGATGGAACTAGTGGGGGCGAGCAAGAGATCCATGTGCGGCATCTCATTCCAAGCCGCCTTTGCCTTCGGATTCATGCTAGTAATGGCCCTTGAGTATGAATTCCGGTCGAAATCAAAAATACCCTAATTTGCAGGTGGCCGGATGGGGGGCTTTGATCAAAGACCGAATATTGCTCCAAGTAGTCTATGGATGCCACGCCCTCGTCCTCATGGGCCACTTCTGGCTGATGGACGAGTCGCCTAGATGGCTGTGGGCAAATGGGCGCACGAAGGAAGCGGTGGCCATTATCCAGAAGGCCCTCAAAACCAACAAAATCGACAAAACAATCGATGTCTCCAAGTTGGCGAATGAGGCGCCTCCAAGTGCTGGAGGTGAAGAGGCCGGAATGCTCGACCTGTTCAAGACGCCCCGCTTGAGGAAGATGACCCTCAACATCTGCCTGGCTTGGTTCGCCAACTCGCTCGTCTACTATGGACTGTCTCTCAACACCGGAAGCCTCAAAGGCAACCCCTACTTGATCCTCTTCATTATGGGGATGGTGGAGATCCCCAGCTACGTGATCACGGTGTTTGCAATGGATAGACTGGGCAGGCGCTTTATCACCTCCACCAACATGATCTTGGGCGGACTGTGCTGTATCGTCGCCGCCAATCTCACTATGGGCGGCTCCCTCTCCACTTGGTTTGTCTTCATCGGCAAGTTTCTGATCGCCAGCTCATTTGCAGTGGTTTACAACTACTCGGCCGAGCTGTTTCCCACTGTGATCCGCAACTCGGCCATGGGACTGGGCTCCATGTGTGCCAGGACCTCCGGAGCGCTCACTCCTCTCATCATCCTCTTTGACTCATTCGATCCCAAGTTGCCTTCGACGATTTTCGCGGTGATTTCCCTCATCTCCGGCCTCCTCACGCTCTTCCTGCCGGAAACTTTGAACAAAGACATGCCGCAAACCATTGAGGATGGCGAGAACTTCGGGCAAGGCGACACGTGCTTTACCAGCTGCCTGCCAACGAAAGTCAAGGAGGAACGCGCGAAGTCTTTGAGGGAATTGGAGCCGCTCAAAACTTGACCAGAGCAGGGTGGGGGCCTCACTTGCCAAGGAACTGTTGAGGGTTTTGCGGGCGAATCTGCAATATACAGGGAGTCGAAGAATGTGTGTTTTATTATGGGGCCGTCCCCTGAAGCTGAGCAGTAGCAACTTGAAATTTGCACCACATTTAGACGAAAATTGACTCTAATGGTGGGGAAGGTTTCATGAAAATCACCCTGAATCCTTATTTTTTACGGCTTTGTAAACATCAGGATTAAAATTTAAGTTTTTTTATCTGCGCCCAATCTGTTAAAAAATTGTAACTTCCACACTAAGGCAAGTAAGAACTTGAAATTTTCGCCATGTTTAGAGCATGTCTGGTTCAAATATTCCTGAAAGTTTCGTGAAAATCGCGATGAATTCTGATTTTTTCCTGCTTCGGCAATATCGGTCTCAAATTGTTTCACTCAACTGCGATTTTCCCGTTAAAAAATCGCATCTTTGAAACTAAAGCAATTAGCGAATTTAAATTGCAACCATCTTTGGAAAACACTTGATTCTAGATGCTGAAAATTGCATATAAAGCAATAAAAAAACATTTAGCGAAACCCATTTTGAAAATCCAAGCTTTTTACTTTTTATCCTCATTTTGAGGTTCACTGAATAAAATCCAAATTTTTTTTAACGAAATATATTTATGTTACAAAAGAAACAAATGAGAAAAAAACAGTAGACAAAACATTGCAATAAATTAATCAAATATATACCCATTTGGCAAAGGCAAAATGCAAGAGTGGCTCCAAAGCCGGCTCTCACCAACTAAACCAGGGGATTGCGGGGAATTGAGCGAACTTTTTGAGGAGATCCATGGTTGCACTTTGCTTGAATTTATGTACAAAAAACTTAGCAGCACTCCAGCTTAGCCGCAATCCGGACGAGCCGTGTGGACAATCTTTGGCTTCAGATCTGTCTTGGGGTTTAAGCCTGGAAATAAACAAATCAAACTTTAGTGTCGTTCGTAGGCTCCCAACGGCTTTGCTCTTCCTCCACGGCTTATAACTGGAAGCAACGTACGTACAAAACCATGTAAAAAGAACAAAGTGGGGCCTTAAAGGAACCAACCTGCTGTATGCACCACAATGCTCGGTTGACCAGGAGCAGGAGGATGCAGCTCATGAGAGCCTCCAGGCGCCAATGTAGCCAGAGCGGCCACCAGGTCGTAGTTCACAATAGGTTCCCCTTCAGGGCGCGGCTCCCAATCCAGGGGCGGCGAAGCGGGGGGCGATATAAGAAACTACGCAACAATCCCTTAGAGAGCCACCGGGTTTTTTCCACAGCAAAATACCTGCTTGTATGGGGCTGGAGGCTGCAGGCTGCAGTTTTTTACAGGAGTGACCGGTTGGGCAAAGTAGCAGGTAATCACTGAGTCGTTGAACTTGTACTGATGCAACTGGATGCGGGCGGTCACCGCTGCCAAAGGGGTGGCAAAGTTTACCCGCAGCCGCCGGAAGCTTTTCAGCCAATGGAAGGTCACCTCTGGATCATAAATCTTGAACAAGTTCTCCATTTCGCGCTTTTTATCTGCAATTAAACACAAAGCGTTAGTACAGGCTTTTCAAGACTGCGAACGGACGGGCATTTGACAATATTGACCAGGGCATTCAAAGACGCTCTCGTGAATGTTGGTGACGATCAGAGACGATGGCAGGCCTTCCAGATCGTCGTCTTCTGAGTAGAGCTGCGACTCATCAATGTCCTGTTCGGGCAGCAGCATGGGATGGACATTGGGCAGTCCATCCTGGGCATTGATGATTATGTTCTCCTCGTTCAGCTCGTCATTGCAATCGGCCATCACACTAAAAACCAATAGCGAACAGTAAATTTGCAAATCGTCCAAACAATCAAGAAAGACGCATTAGGAAGCTCGTACCAGCTGTGTAGGGCGGCACTGCTAAAACGAGTCCAGGGGCGCGGACACGACAGAGCCCCTTCAAGCTGCACTACCACTTGGGCCCTTTAGGCCTTCAACTAGATGGGCCCCTTTTAAGCACCAGCAAAATCCTGACAGGTCTAGTAATGATCTTTTGCGACGTTGCTCCTATGAACACCCGTACAAATTTATGAGGTTAGATTACTGCGAAAAATAGTCCACAGAACATACCCCCTATTTTGGGGGATATTTTGTGAAATAGTCGTTTTAACAAACATTCTGGGCGCAACACTCGCACGGAGCCCGACAACTCTTCAGCTAACTTTTGGGCTGGATCAGGATAATTCTTGGGGCTCAGAATTCTTGGTTGCTTGCTTACAGTGAATATAAACCAGGAATAACTGGCCTTGTTGGCAGCCCTGCAACAGCTGAGAATGTCATCGTCAGCTGTATCCAAAGTCATAACAATGTGCTGATTATATAGTTAAATTCGTTTATAAAGCTTATCAATTAATTAATCCATAGAAATGAATAGTAATAGATAACGTTAGTTTGAACATGGACCTGTCAGCGTACAAAAACGTGGTAGATTTCAAGAACATCTGCAGAACCTGCATGAACAATCAAAACTATCGCAAGAAAATCGACGAGGAGAAGATTCGAGTGGATAACAACAGCATCTCAGTGCTCGAGCTGCTGAATTTCGTGCACGAAGTGAAGGTTAGCTTCCCCTAGTCGCCTTATCTGCGCCACAATCTCTTACGTTGCAGATTCACAAAGGGTTTCCTCAGGAGATCTGCTCCAACTGTTTGGATCAGTTGCGAGCCTTCTACAAGTTCAAGCTACAGGTGGAGAAGTCCGAGTCGGTGCTCAAGAAGCATCTCGGCCCGTTTGATGAGCGCAACACCACCATCAGCCCATTGGCGCCCAAAGATCTGCCCCTCAACCCTTTGAACTTTGCTGTACGTCCGTTGGACACCCCCAGGTCGCCCCTTTTCGTTAAATCCGAGCTTTGCAACAGGTTTTTGGACAGCGAGCCTCTAGATTTAAAGGTATTGCATTTACCTCTTGCAGTATTAGGAGCGTGGCTCTTCACTTAATAAACCTGCAGGTGAATGAGGCGGACATCGATTTGGGCTCGTTGAAAATCTCCGATGAGTTGAGCGATCAAAGCAATGATGGGCTGGGAAAAAAGCGGCCATCGGCAGCCATCGAAAGCAGCATGCACATCCCGGAGGAACATCCTGGATGCGTGGAAAAGGATCAGGAAGTGACGATAGATCCGGCCGTCTGCACCACTTGCAACAAGACCTTTAAGTCGAAGTACATTCTGAACGTGCACTTGAAACGGCACAAGTTTAAGGGCCAGTTTCTCTGCACCTTATGCGGCAAAGGCTTCAACTCCCAAGGCTGCCTCAACAGGCATACCAGAGTGCATACCGGTAAGGCTTCACAATGGGGGATTCATGGCAATTAGTCAGTTCTGGGTGTCCCTTTGGTTTCCAGGTGAAAAGAACTATCAGTGTGAAATCTGCCAGAAGCGCTTCCCATCATCGAACAACTTGAATATTCATCTACGCACCCACACCGGGGTGAAGCCCTATTTGTGCAACCTATGCGGGAAATCCTTCAGCAATAGAACAGGTAAAATCCACAGCAAACTTTTCCGCTTGTCTCTAAAACTCGCTTTTCAGGTCTAAACTTCCACGTCCGAACGCACAGCAAGGAGCGCCCTTATGCGTGCGATGTGTGCGGTAAGTCCTTCGGGGCCCAAAGTCATTTGGACTGGCACCGGATGATCCATACTGGTAATACTCGCAACCGCTTATCAGGCACCCAAATGTGTAGTAAATAATTTACAGGTGAACGACCATTTCCCTGCGATCAATGCGATAAGGCGTTTATAAAAAAATGTGACTTGCAGCGACACCAATCCGTCCACACCGGCGAGAAACCATTCGCTTGCAGCTACTGCGACAAGAGATTCAGCACCAAAGTCCATCTGCAGTACCATACAATGGTAGGAGGTTCTTGGGCGCAATGAAAAACGCAAAAAAAACACTCGTTTGCAGGTGCACACTGAAGAGCGGCCGCATAAGTGTCCAGTTTGCGCCAAAGGCTTCATCCGACGATACTACTTGCGGGACCACATGGTGAAGCATCACGGCACCCTAGAAGGAACCACTTTGGAGAAAAAGGCCGTACCAACCAGGAAGGAGGAACACGCGCAATCTCTGGCCGTGGGTGAAGGTTTGTAGTCCTTCGTTGGAACGGCTCTAGTTAAATGGTGCTTTGTTTTCGCTTGTTATGGAGGAACGTGTAGGTTATTAGAAATATATCGAGTTGTTTACACGGTGCGCTTTCCTTGCCCAACATTCTGATGTTTTTTCCACCCCAGGCCCGAGACTAAGGGACAATAGCAATAAAACACTAAATCGAGTAGTTCACAGTACGGTTTTTTGTTTTCAATTAAATAACGTCCTCGATCGATAGAAAAATCATTTTTGGTCTGTAACTGGGTTCTAACGACATCGATTACAGCGTTGTGTAAGGCACGGAAGACTAATAAAGCCAGATTGTTTGGAAACAGGAAAATTAACCTAAACAACTAAGCACTATCGCCTAAAATAAATTAAATGAGCACTGGTTTAATGGGTTGTTTGCACCCGCTCTAGGGACCAGCGACGCCTTGAAAACTTGAGTTTTTAATGCCGAGTGGACAGATTAATAATTAAACGGCAATATTTTTTTTAATTTTGAGTGGAAATTAGTGGGATTTTGAATTTACCGCCAACTGCGATTGACAAGTTCCGTGTGTCACAGTGACTGATTTTACTGTTCGTTTTTTTTGCTATTTAACACTAAAATCTGGTGAAAATTAGTGAAAAACCCGAAATCAGTTTAGCTAGAAGCCGTTTGAACAAACCCAGGCAAGTAAACTTTTGATTCTGAGTGAAAGCGGCCGGGATTTTGAATTTGCCGCCAACTGTTGTTCACTAAACTGACAAACCAGTGTCAACTTGAAAGTTCCGTGTGTCACAGTATTTTTAATGTTCGTTTTCGGGCTATTTCTGTTACAATCGAGTGAAAATCAGTGAAAAACTCGAAGAAACACTGCCTAGAGGCCCTTTGGACATACCGGTGTAAGTGAAAGTGGTCAATTTCAGGGCGAGTTAAAATGTTAGAGCCAACGTTCGGCTGGTCACCCAGTATATGCAAAGTCCTAGATAAAACACCGATAAGTGTCCCCTATATCCTAAACAGTCTATTCTATGTACAAAAATAGGAATATACAGATATACAGTGTCGCACACAGGAGTTTGGCTCGTCCATTAAAAAGCTATATTTGCTTAGATTTCGAGCAATAATTTTGTTGAAATCGTTCGGGCTGAAAGCCCGAACAACCTATATATAATACTATTGCCCGAAACGGATAGGAGTTTTAGGCTTGTAGGCCGCGCGATAGAATCGAAAAAACTGTGTATCAGCTTCAAGCAATGGCCCCAAAGCCTAACTCTTCCCATAATATTTTTTGCATCATACCCTGCTTCGAATTTACTCGTTTTGTATCTAAAATATATGCGCACAGTGAACCGTCTTCGGAGCTTAAAATAATGGGATAATCACAATAGTTTAGAGTAGTTAGCTTAAGAATACACATGTACGTCCATGCTTGGTTGGCTGGAATTATGGCCCGAAACTATGTATTAGTTGGATTCAAACGGCGCATCCCTTTCGCACTCCGTAGAGTACCTTTAGCTCCGGGAAAATAATCTTCTTGATCAGCTGGTTGGTTTTGCCGGCCAGCATCGCCCTTTTTGCGTCCTTCTTGTATATTTTGATGCCTGGCTTGTGGACCAGAAACGCGTTATCCAGGATCAGGAAGTCGTAGTTGAGCACGCAAAGCGCATAGCCCTAGGAGGGAAACATTAGACTGGGCGACGGGCCGGATTGAGGAATTACCTGCGTCATTTTGTCGCTCTTTCCCTCCCAGCTGAGTCGTTCGTCGTAGAGCGGATCGTTGTGGGTTCCGATGAAAATCGGCTCCCAGTGGACGAAGCGTCCGTTTCTTTTGCCCACATGGAACACGTGCAGATTTTCTGAGACTGGCGCTAGTTGCCACTCCTTTGCTTTAGGAATATTATGGCAGCCTGGGCATAGTTTCTTGTGGAACGGCAAGGCTGTACCTGCGAAAGCAAATCCCATGATTCCTGGATGGAGTTTGGATTTTTGCGCTCCACCTACCATTGCCCAGCATGTCTTTCAGCATTGTCTTGCTTTCTGGCACCGTAGAATTGGCACTGACCTCAAAGAGGTGCAAAGGAAACACCTTGGGGTTCTTGCTGAGCAGCGGCCCCGTATTGGTGGCGATTAAGTCTAGGAACTTAGAGCTAATGTTAGGACTAGGATAGAGCTCAATGTCCGACGCTAGAATGTAGTAAGTCTGGGCGGTTTCGCGAGCGACATTTCGACCTACGTTAACTGGATACAGCAGCTTTTTTTGAGCCTTGTACATCTGCTCAGAGGAGACGTTGAGGTAGGGCGGGGTGAGTGAGCAATTGTAGGGCTCCGGAAACACGCGGGAGTGTTTTGGAACCTGAAACAATCGGGAAATCGAGCTTAATTTCAAGGCTTTCCTGTCACAATCACTTCCTCCACATCAAGCGAGAACCTTGCCAACAGTCGAAAATCTCTTAATAGCGTCGCATAATATTCGCTTTCAGTTTTACGCCTTGACTGAATTACTTATTCCCAATGACACCGCTACCTTTTACCAGCAGCTTAAACAGTGCGAAGCATTATAGGTACTATCTCTTTGTCTTGGGCTTGTTTCATTGCTATAGAATTGCCAAAGCCCACAATTTTCCTTTTTAATTTTTTCCCGCTGAAAACACCGATTGATTGATCAATGAAGATTCCTCGCATTCCTGCAGCGAATACAGTTAGCTTTCTCGCGGCAATCTTCTCGACGCTGGTGCTGCAGGAAAGCGGCGTTTTTAATCTATTTTTAATGGAAATGAACGCTTAATTCGTATTGATGGCTGCCCTGTTCCCATGTTTTCCCTGTTCCATTAATTACTTTCAGTCGCCACGAAGCAAAACGCTCTAAGGCCTGATGAAACATGCAACGATTTATCAGAGAGGAAATTGCCGAAGAGTGGACAAAGACCGGTTGCTTAGAGGGCATGAAAAAAGGTTCAAACTGAACTGGTGCCCTTTACGTGCGTTTTTTCCCTGAGTTTTTCATCTGGTTATTGATCGGACGCTGGTCCTGGTTGGCGACTGGCCGATAAAACCGCGCGTTAATATCTCTTCATAATATACAGAATTCCCGTAGTTTAAATTCGTTATAATTTACAGCTATTTTATATTGGTAGGTCTCCTTAACATGTCATTCAACCGGTCCTCGAGCATGGGAAACTGAATGCGAAATTTCATGGGATTGTAGCAACGAAGAACACATTCCACGATCAACGAGTAGACCAAACAGCTTTCTATGAAAAACTGTGTAAAATAATACAAATGCGCGTTGGGAATTTAATTGCCAGACCCCCGCATGGCCCCAAAGACAATTAAACTGAACCGATAATGCGGGCGCCACAGAGCGTTTAACTTTTCTACAATGGCTCAACTTAATTGACTCAATTGCCTGGTATTTTTCGATCATTTAAAAAACAACAGAACGTTTCGCTTTTCACGCTTTCAACACCAATGCTCAGTCTTGTTAATCTGAACAAGCATCATTGCTGGCAAGCAGTCACTTTTATAAATTCATTGCGCCCAAGCCAGAGCAAGTAGGAACTTGCCATTTTGTCTGATTATAAAAGACACTCCACCTTTCAAATGGTGCAAATTTTTTGCCAATTCGAGTAGGCCTGGGTAACTCAATGCATTTTTAGGAGTTGGCGCAGTGCTGCGCAAATGGGTTATGAAATATGAAATAAATTTTATTAAAACACTCGCCTCCTTTGGCCGCTTTATAAAAAACCAAGACCAAAATCAAATAATTTTTTGTCAAAAAACGAACTGAATAAGCGAAAGTTTATAATAATTATTTGGAAAACTCAACACTGCCATTCCTCTGAAAAAAATTGTTTTGTTTGTTTAAAAAAGTGTTTTTTTAGTTTTGACAAAATTTTATTTTGCTTTGCTTTTTACAAGATAAATCTGTAGGTTTGTAGGAATTTTACAAACACTTTTTTCAGCGTCGAATTCGGGACAAAAACGAAAATAAATTTCTTCCGTTTTTTATCGGAAATTATTTTTAATATATCATAATATATTTTCTCAAAAACCGATCACAAAACTAAAAGTTTTTAATCAAAAACGCAAAAAAACTTTATTTTCTGATGATTGTCTTCTTTTCTGACAATAATGCAGCCAATAACGATAAAATTAATTTTAGTAGTTTAAATTAGAAAATTTGCCTCATTCATCGGTTTGCAGGGAACTTTAGAAAACTCGTTTCACCTTCGAATTTGGCACAAAAACCAAATAATTTTATTCAGTTTTTACCTAAAGTAATTACGATTATCTTGAAAACATGGCCACAGGGCAAAAGTTTACAAAAAATAATTTTGAAAAATTCACCACCCTCATCGCTCTGAAGATTTGTTAAGTTTCTGTAAAATTTCAGGGCTTTCCAGTTTTGGCAAAGTTTCTATTAAGCAATTCTTTCTACGCAAAAAACGTATTATTTTAAGTTTTACTTAAAATACCGACAATCTTCAGGTATTTTCTGCGAAAATTATAAAATAAATTTTATTGGAACACTCGGCCACTGAACAGATTTGTAATTTTTTTCTGGAACCTTTTGCAGCTTCGAATTTGGACAAAACCCTAATATTTTTTTCTGGATTTTTTCCCAAAAATATTTCCCCGAACAGAACAAGTGAAAGTTTATAATCAATTAGTCGGAAAACTCGTCACTTTTGTCGCTGTGAATAATTTGGTTTATTTAAATTCCGGTTTCTTCAATTTTATTTCAATATTTCTAAAGAAAACTTTCTCTAAACAGAACAACGCGTTTTTTCTTAACGTTTTGCTGGAAAACACTAGCAAACTGAGAGTCTTTTATGCAAAAAAGTTAAAAGATGGATTTTACAAGAAAAGTCGTCGTATTTACAGTTTGGTCTTCTATATCGTCTTTTTCGAATACCCGTTTTACCTTTGAATCTAGGACAAAATCGAAACAAAGTTATCTTGTTTTTTTCGACAAAATTTAGGTTTTCTCAAGAAACGTTCAGAGAAAGCAAAAGCGTATAATCAATATTTGGAAAACCCGTCATCCTCATCGCTCTGAAATTTGTTAGGTTTCTTCAAAATCTCCGAATTTTCCCGTTTTGCACCAAATAGTTTCAAACAATCGTATGCGCATAAGCAATATGTTGATGGCTTTTTTTGTTAGATATTGAAATTCCGCCACTGGCCATGAGTTAAAACTCATTAACTCAGAGAGCGACAACAACTCTAAAGCGCAACTCAACACAGTGTTACTCAGGCCTAAATTCGAGGTCAGGTTGAATTTTGAGGAATTTGCAAACTTCCAGTTGAAAAACGACTGTTGGCCCACTTTCATAAATTCATCACGCCCAAACCAAAGCTTTTGTCAATTTACAAAAGACATTTGACTATTCAAATCGCACAGGCTTTTCCAGTAAAATTTGAAAACTTACCTCTTTGGGAACATGCTTCGTGCTGAAATAAATATGAAAAGTGACCAATTCGCGCACTAACGCACTGGTACAGTCCCGTAAATGTGCAATGGATTCCAGTGTGAGGGCGAAGTCGGTGCCGGGGGCATGGAGGGCAATGCTGATGGGCGCCCTCCATCTCTCTAGCAATGGCACCAAGTTGTCCATGAAGGAGAAGTCCGCATGGGTCGTGTAGGTGATCGTTTCCTCGCACTTAAACGTCCGTTTAGCGCGCACGTAATTATACAACACCCAGTAGTCTCCGCGTTGCTGAGTTTTCGGGACCAGCGGCCTGTCCAAGCACTGGGTGATATCCCTCAGTTTTTCGAAGAGCGTCAGAGGCGGCTCGGTCGGATGAGGCGGTGGAGGCGGTTCCTCTTCCTCCTCCATTCGTGCTGGAGGTGGCTGCAGTTTGCTGGCATTGGGCACCAGAGGTTGGATCGCAGGTGCTGCTCAGAAAGTCCACGTTTGACTTCAGACCAGGGCCAGGATGAGGAACATTGTAACTTACCATCTTGTACCAATGGGGCTGTTTCGAGGTTCTGAGTGTCCAAAGCTGCCAAACTTCTGCCGGATTGTTGCAGCTCCCTAATCATCGGCCCTCCGCCACTGTACATTACGTGGACTGCCAGGTAGATCAAGCACAGGATGATCAGAATTTTGATGATGAACGTTTTCCGATTGTTGTACATCTTTCAAGGCGGATCTGCAAGGTTTGCAACATTCGGTGTTGAAAATTCGAAAAATCGTAGAAAATGCAGACGGCCACTGATCGAAGTCGTGTTTTGTACGATTATGAATTGGAGTTTCTTCTTTCGATATCCAAAAGTTCAGCCAGTTATCTGTGCAGGTTTGCGTGTTGTGAATTTTTAGATTCCGAGGTGCACTTTTGGGGTCAATATTTCCGTAACGTCATGGAATCGATTGTGATTGACTAGATTTATTAAGTGAAGTTTGAAGTTTGAAGTTTCAGGTATTTATCTGTGCGGGTTTGCAGTGTGAATTTTTAGGTTCAAGTGACCACAATTGGGGATCAGATGTGAGTAACTGGAAGTTTGAAAAATTCTAGAAAATAAATGAGGTCTTGAAATCGATTGCAGTTTTGCAAGTTGATCGGTTGGGGTTTCTTCTTTAAATATCCAAAACTTGAGGCATTTATTTGAGCGGGTTTGCGAATCATGGATTTTTAGATTCAGACGTGCAATTTTGGAGCTTCTATTTGAGCAATCAAAATTTTGAAAAATCTTAGAATCTAAATGAAGGCGTGGAATCAATTGTAGTTTTACAAGTTTATCAACTGGGATTTTGTCTTTAAATATCGCAAAAATTAGACATTTATCTGTGAGGGTTTGGAAAGAGTGAATTTTTAGGTGCAGGCGGGCACATTTGGGGCCGATATTTGAGTAGCCGGAACTTTGAAAAATTCTAGAAAAATAATCAGCTCCGGGAATCGAGTGTGATTTCGCCAATTTATCAACTGGGATTTTGTCTTTAAATTTCCAAAAATTGAGGCATTTATCTGTGCGGGTTTGCAAATTGTGTATTTTTTGATCCAGATGTGCACATTTGCGGCTCATATTTGAGTAACCGCAACTTTGAAAAATTCCAGAAAAATAATCAGCTCCGGGAATCAATTGTGATTTCGCCACTTTATCAACTGGGATTTCGTCTTTAAATTTCCAAAAATTGGAGCACTTATTTGCTTTGGATAGAGTGAATTTTTAGGTGCAGGCGTGCATATTTGGGGCCGATACTTGAGTTGCCAAAACTTTGAAAAATTCTAGAAAAATAATGAGCTCTGAAAATCGATTGTGATTTCGCCAATTTATCAACTGCTATTTGGTCTTTAAATTTCCAAAAATCAATTTTGCGTAGTTATCAACTGGAATTTCGTCTTTAAATTTGCAAAAATTGAATCATTGATCTATGCGGATTTGGAAATTGTGATTTTTTTGATTCAGACGTGCAATTGTGGAGCTTGTATTTGGGTCACCCAAACCTTGAAAAATTGTAGAAACTAAACGAGCCCTTGGAGTCAATAGCAGTTTTGTGCATTTATCAACTGGAGTGTCTTCTTTAAATATTCAAAGTTTCAGTCAATTTCCAAGATCTATTTGTAAATTGTGATTTTTTATGCACCGGCGTGCACTTGACAGGCTCATACTTAAACAGCCGAAACTTTGGAAAATTGTAGAAAATCAATGAGAGCTCGGAATCGGCTGGAAATTTGTGTCTTGTTCAACCAGGACTTTGTCTTTAAACATTCAAAAATGCCGTCTAATTTTTTGTCGCGTTTGAACATGGGCGTGCATGTTAGAGCTTCAGCGCGATTGTCTACTGAGCTTAGGAGAAAAAGAATGGACTTTTAACTGCAGGAAAAATCGCAAAAAATATTCAAGGTTTATTTAAAGAAAGCCCAATAGAACCTAATTTATAGGACTTTCGTTGCACTTAACCATGCCCATTCTACCGCAAACAATCTCTTTGCTAAGCGTTGTCGCATTATTACCACATTCTTGTTATTGAATTATTCAAACAGGTTAATCGCCCGGTTGATTGATGGATGATTAGTTGAACCCATCAATATTTTACGTGCGGTGTAGTGCGGTAGCAACATCGAAATCTGGCGCGTTTCGTTCAGAAGACGCCACCACTTTGCCTACCTTAGAGCGGTGTGTTCGATTACTGATGGGTCATCGTCCATCCAAAATCAGTAATGGAAGGTCTTTTTGCGTCCAGGCGGTCTAACATGCAAATAACGGTGGGTTTTTTGCCGGCCCATTGGTCACAACTCATGAAAAGCAATGACGTGCGTTCTGCTCGAGTTCATCCTTCTCAGAACCCGAAGACCTGAAACGAAGAAGGAACGGTTTAGCGGACCTTGAATTTGTTCTTCAACTGGCGACCATAAATGTTGCCACGGTACAATTTTGGGGGGCAAAAAGTTGGGGATTTGTTGCTGTTTGGGCGATTGGCACGTTCCTGGTCCGTGTCACGTTGCGCCACTGTCCTTGGTCTATTTAATTAATGCAAACTAATTATCTGAGAAATTGTTTAGCTAATCTGTATAATACAGCAATCTGATCAAGAAAAATGGGGCTTGCATTGCATCAGCTGAGGTAAACTGCATTTGTTTGATCTCGCTAACCAGGAACTTAAGTAATTTTAATTGAACTAATTACCGATTGATTAATCAGCAGAGGATTATTTAATAATTTCTCATGTGCGGGCTGTTGCGTCTTTTATGCCTTTACCTTGCTCCGTTTACCTAGCAGGGATTTGAACAGTAAATATGCACGTAGCACAAAGCTAAGGTGCAATTGTGCAATTTAATTTATTGTCTACGCAAGTTTTCTAATCTAGGCGCTAGTTGTTTAATTAGCGACAAAATCGGGGTCGAATTTGGACAATTTTTGGTCATAATTTGCTTGCTGGGAAAATAGGAGCAAATCCTCTATAGAGTAATTCTGGAGCGTTCAATCGGTACCTGGTCTCAAGCAGGCTCCTAGTAGCCACTTCGGTCAGTCTTCATCCACATCAATCACTCTCTGGTTGCAAATCCGAACAAAAGTTGCAAAGCGACCGATCGACAAGCCCGCCCGAACTGCACTGTTGTTGGTACCACTGTCGGTACCCGGTTCTGCTTGTTCTTCGACTCGCCTTTCACGACTCCGAAGATCTAGGCAGTGACCATTGAAGATGGGCTATTCGAAAAACGGATGAATGCTCGTTGGGGTCATTATCTAATGGGTCGCATTTTTTTTCTCGTGGCTTTGCGTATTTCCGTCTTCGCCATGGGTTGAAACAGGTCGATGGGCGATACGTCATTAGCACGCGGGTACCATTTGAATCCATCCATGGCTTTTGCAGCTAATTAATCCCTGGACGGATGGTTCTTCGGCGAAACGGTCCGTATTCTCTTCATTTGTTTGCTATCTTCGGGTTCCTCGTGTTTATATAATGGAATTTTTCAGATAAACGGCTTGATTACGTGGTTTTTACGCAAGTGATTGGTGTTGAATGCGATAAGGAAGTCATCCGATGCTCATCAAGATGATATAATAAGGGCATTCGAATTCACAGCGAATTTTAGATGCAAATGAGTTTCAGCTGTGGAGCAACCTCATTTCCAATGTTTGTCAAAATTAACCTGAAAGTCTAATTTTAAACAGGTTCTGCGGCTTTATAGAGTGGATTTTTCTCTATTTAAAGGTGCCAAAAACATCCCTCTGCCTGTTCTGGTTTTTTGGTCGTGATTTTCTTAACTTAAAGTCCGCTCTTAACAACGCACAGTTTACAAATTTGCCAAAACCTTCTCAAACTCGCCATCAAAATCAAACGTTGATAATATATAGAGTGGATTATCTCTCTATTTAAGGGTGGTAAAAGCAGTTCTCTATCGCTGCTGGTTTTGTGGTAGTCATTTTTTCAAATGCGCCTTGAGGATTTTTTGACTTAAATCTGCTCTTAACCAGTCGTGTTTTAAAAACTCTGAAAATCAGGTCCAATTTGCCGTAGAAATCAAACTTTGAGACATTTTGGAGTGGAACTTTATCTATTTTATGGTGCTGAAAACAGCTCTGTTTTACGACTGGTTTTTTCGTGGTTATTTTTTTTAAATGCGCTCTGCAGATTTTCTTGCCTTGAATCCGCTCTTGACGAGTGGTAATTTAAAAAATTTACGGAATCAAGTCAAACCTGCGATAGAAATCAAACTTTGAGCAACTATGGAATGGAGTTTTCTCTATTTAAGGGTGCCAAAAAATTCGCTCTGCATGTGCTGGTTTTTTGTAGTGATTTTTTTAATGCGCTTTTCAGATTTTTTACATTGAGTTTTACATTAATAGTTTACAAATTTATCAAAATCTGCTCAAATTCGCCATCGATATCAAACGTTCAGAATATATAGAATGGATCTTTCTTTATTTAAGGGCGCTACAAGCAGTCCTCTATCGATGCTGGTTTTGTGGTAGTAATTTTTTCAAATGCGTCTTGAGGATTTTCTGTCTAAAATCTGCTCTTGACGCACCGTGTTTTAAAAACTCTCCCAATCAGGTCAAATTTGCCGTAGAAATCAAACTGAGGCATTTTGGAGTGGAGTTTTCTCTATTTGCTGGTACTAAAAACAGCTCGCTATTCTTGTTGTTTTTTTTGTGGTTTTTTTTACTGCGGTGTTTAGATTTTATTGCCTTGAATCCGCTCTTGGCAAGTCGTGTTTTTTTTTAATTCTCAAAATCAAGTCAAACCTGCGATAGAAATCAAACTTAGAGGAATATGAAGTGGGCTTTTCTCTATTTCATTGCGCTAAAAACCGCTCTCTTCCCTCTGCGGCTTCTTTTTTTTTTTAAATGCGTTTTCCTGATTTTCTTGTCTTCAAATCGTTCTTGACAAGTCGTATTTTTAAAAAAATTTCAAAATCAAGTTAAACCCGTGATAGAAATGAAACTTTGAGGAATTATAGAGTGGAGTTTTCTCTATTTGAAGGTGCTAAACACAACGTTCTAACCCTGCCGATTTTTTCGTAGTTATTTTTTTACTGCGCCCTGCACATTTTTTGTCTTGAATCCGCTCGACGTGTCGTAATTAAAGAAATTCTCGAAATCAAGTCCAACTTGCCACAGAAATCAAACTTTGAGGAACTATGAAGTGGAGTTTTCTCTATTTAAGGGTGTCAAAAACATCCCTTTGCCTGTGCTGGTTTTTTGGTAGTGCTTTTTTTTAATGCGCTTCACAGATTTTTTACATTGAGTCCGCATAGTTTACAAATTTGCCAAAATCTGTTCAAACTTGCGATCGAAATCAAACGTTGAGAATATATACAATGGAGTGAAGGGTGGTAAAAGCAGTCCTCTATCGACGCTGGTTTTGTGGTAGTCATTTTTTCAAATGCGCTTTGAGGATTTCTTTATCTTAAATCTGCTCTTAACAAGACGTGTTTTAAAAACTCTGAAAATCAGGTCCAATTTGCCGTAGAAGTCAAATTTTTGGACATTTTTACGACAGCTCTGTTTTACGGCTGGTTTTATCGTAGTTATTTTTTTTAAATGCGCTCTAGAGATTTTCTTGCCTTACATCCGTTCTTGACAAGTCGTAATTTAAAAAAATCTCAAAATCAAGTCAAACCTGCCATCGAAATCAAAGTTTGAGGAACTACGGAGAGGAGTTTTCTATTCGAGCGTGCTAAATATAGATTTGTATACCTGCTGGTTGTTTCTTGCCTTTAATCGACTCTTGACAAGTCGCAATTTAAAAAAATTCTCAAAGTCTGGTCAAACCTGCCAAAGAAATCAAAGTTTGAAAAATTATAGAGTGGAGTTTTCTCTATTTAAGGATGCCAAATATCGTCTTTTACGTCTGCTGGTTTCTTCGTAATTTTTGTAAATTCTTCCCTTACAAAAGATCTTGCTTTGAATCAGGCTAAATTTCAAACAGACATACGACCTACTTTGAGGCATTCTAACGTGCAGCTGCCTCAATTTAATAATGGCAAAAGCTCGCTCTCGGCCTCTATGTAATTTTCGATATTTAGAACGTAAAGAAAAGTGTGTGGTTGATTAATTGAGGAAGAGGGCAATTCAATAAACTAACTGCCCAGGCCGAAATTCGAAGCGAACCTCCAATAACACGTGCGGTTTGAATGTAAATTTCCCGGTTCCGGCACGAATCCCATAAAAGTTTACAGAAAAATTAGCAAAATGAATATTATGGATGATGATAAATCGGCGGATAAACAATGGATTCGAAGGTCGGCATTTTCACGCGAGCTGGTCTTAATCGATCGATGTTTACTCATCGGTTAATGATGTTTTCAATTAAATCGGCAATTAAACGGCAAACTACTGGGGATTTGAAGAACGGCCTTGCCGAAATCCTTGCTTGCGGTGATGTTCAAACGTATTTTAGATACTGACTCGTCTTCGAAGAATGTCCCGATTTTGTATGCGAAGGGTTTCCGTGGTTGGATTTTTTGTTTGAAAACGTGGAATTTCATTCGAATGCGGGAACTTTTGGCAAGAAACCACACTGCAGCTGATCGGTTTCGATACAAAACCTTCGCGACAGACAGCAAGTCCTTGGGAGTTTGCCAGGACGTCGCATTTGTCGCAATTACCTGAACAACTTTTTAATAATTTCGTGCACGAAACGTCGCTTAAACAACATTAAGTCCATGGGAATGTTCAAATGAATGTTACGCCACTGCTGCTGCTGCTGCTGCTGCTGCTGCTGCTGCTGTTGATCTGCAGCTAATTTTAGTAAAGTTAACAACACTTAAAAATATGCGGCTTCCACATTAAGAACGTCGACCACACAAAGGCGAAAACATATGGCAAAGACAGTGCCTGAATGAGACTCTTAAGATTGGAACAATAAAGTGGTTCACACACTCGGTGCACATCTGGCCGATGAAAAAATGTCCCAAAATCTACGATAGTTTGTAAAACTAGTTGAGAATTGCCATTAAAGACACGCCTTTAAGAGGTGTGAATGATGATCTCTTCACAATTCAACGAATGTTGCTTTACATTGTTGACTCTTCCAATTAGTCCGATGTCGCATCAGCGCCCAACAATTGGAGGAACGATGTTAATTGTGTTGAACCACCATTTCTGAGCTTTGTGCCTCAGTTAACACCGTATTAATGACGTACCGTTCGGTTAACTTCACGAATTATTGAACGGAAACTTGCGGGGAAATGTATGCATGAAATTTGGCTCGAGTTTCAACATTTTTATAAAATTCGCTGATGAACCTACAGATTCGAAACTTTCTCTGAATAGACAATGGAATATGGTCTATCACTTGCAAACATTTCATTAGTCTATCTATCTGGGTTTTGGCTGAATGCACTC